CGGGCTACAATCCCTCACGATTTTGCGCTCGAGATGTTACGAGGAAATTTGAATTTCTGATGCAGTTGACGATGTTGACATAACAGAATCACAAACTATTTGAGAAATTAAGTTTCAAGAAACACATAGTCATTGTCCAAATATTTTACTTCAATAATTCCCAAACCTATTTCGCGAAGATACAATCTCACCTAAATAAACCTGGATTGAATCCCACGATCCAAATCCATATAAGCTAATTTCCAAATAAAAGGAGGAGAAAAGGGGAGGAATGACAAACTCACGTTTCCTCAATTTCGTATTATTACCTCGCAAAGATCTCGTCCTTTTTATATCTTTTTATATAAAGCTTTGATTAAAAACCCTCCGGTCGTCCCTCTCCCCCGCTGTTTCCAGTTGTGTTGTTTTCTTAATTAAGTCTTTCTCGAATTTATCTCGTCCTCAAAAGGAGAAGTTTCGAATTTTGCAAACAGAAGATGGAGACGAAACAGATTTCGAAAGTTGGACACGCGATACGTTTCACGAATCACGTTTTACGATTTCGTGGCGGAAATTGTGTATACCCGAGGGAGAAAAGAATTTTGTTAATTATTAGGGAGATGGCGTGTAAGACAACGTAGCCGAAGAAGAAATAGCCACCTGAATCATAAAACCGAGATAAATGGTCGTACTTGGCATAGTTTCATTGCTTCACCAAGCTAGATGACTCACCCATTGCTCCCTTATTACCCCTGAGAAATTTTCTCCTTATTGCCGAGCCACACACGATCCACTACATGGAAACGCGGCTACATGCCGGGACGACAGGGTTTCATCTTTTTTCTCGAGAAGAACCAGTGTACACACTTTGTACCGAAGATTGGATCAATGTTGAATATTTTATAATCCTAATAAATCACTGTTCCGTCTAAAATAATTCTTAAAAATCAAAAGTATTTTAGAATTGGACGATAGAAATATATTTTAAAATACTTACTTTATATATTTTATTATTTTAAAATAAATCAATTCTTTGATGTTTTGGAAATTTTTCTCTCGAAAGAAAATTCGAAATGAGATATCCTAAAATCGGAGTATAGAAAATATTTCCTTCTTCAAGATTGCTCCTTCGAATATCTTGATCCAGATTAGAAATATTCGAGAATTTGAAACGAAATTTTTACACTGGAAACATAGACGTGTATATTTCCTCCATAAAATATGGTACATGGTGCGCATAAAGAATAATGTTTATAAATTTATGTACAGATTTTAACGCGCAGTTAAACGGGTTTATGTAAATTTTTCGCGCATTATCGACACCCAATGCGATTTAAGTTTTATGGCGAAGCTACCTATAATAACGCTTCACGAAACATATCTATACATTCTTGTATAGAGTATCCATATCCGTCTGGATTTTTTTTCTTTTTTTTTTTTCTTTTTTTCTGTTTACGCGGAAAGTGGTTTTCTCGTTTTTACGATGTATCCGGGATGACGCGAAAATGGATCGCTCGGAAAGGAACGCTCGTTACACGCACGTATGCCGAGCTTTTCAGAAATCAAAGTGCCACTTTGACTTTTACTCTTGTACGTCGTCGCTTTCATTTCCAAACTCTCGCGTATATCTCTCGCGTAAATTTTTTTGATTTATCGGTTTATCGCTTCTCGAGCTTTTGTCATGATCTCAATGGAAAAAATTGTAAATTTTTAAGAATCGATACTTTTTATCGTATTATCGAAGATGCAAGAGATATTGTATCGATCGGATTTGTGTGATTTTGAATACGTAAAGTTGGATATATTTTTCTTAAAATTGAAAATTATGGAACGAATAATAATATTTTCTCTTTCTCTTCAGGAAAAGTACACGCACATTTTACGTGTTTGGTCACGTCCATCCAAATCCTCCGAGTGATCATCCACTCTTCGCACCCTAATCTCAAACACTCAGCCCTCACTCGAATCTCGCAATAAACAATCTCGCCATAAAAATCTCATCCCCTTAAGATTGATGAATTGGACGGCAAATACTTAGGATTCCAGAGAAGTCCACAAAAAAGAAATTTGACCAATGGATGGATCATCATCGATTCTTCTTCGATCAAATGGATTAATAACGTTCCAATTCAAATATCGAACAAAAATATCGTTCGAATGCATTTACTTTTATTTTTTTCCACAAAGGAAAATTTATTTTTTTCTTTATTTTTAGACTTTAAATTAGAAGCAAAGAATTGTCTGCAATTGTTCTCGAGAAAGGTTGTTTTCGAAATGGGGCATTTAAGATAATTGCCCTCTTAGCGTTTAACAGAACAGTTAATGATAATTAACCCAGCTGGTTAGAAGGATCCCAGTTATTTGGAAAATGATTTTCACGTTAAAGCTATGTCTCTCACGGTTTTCACTCCCGCGAAACAATACCCTCATTATCACCCTTTCCATTAAGTATGCTCGATAATTACAAATTTACATTTAATCCTTAAGTTGCCCGAATCTATCGTATTCTGTTACGTGATATCGTTGGTCGAATGTTCGCCATCCTAATTCGATAATCATGTCGTCTAGAACATCGTTAACAAGATGCTCATTAAAGTCGACTCCCAGTAATGACGTGACTTTTGATGGATTTTCGGGCGGCGTTTGAATATCGTGGCTTCCAATTTTAATTGCCTTGTTCTCCCTTCTATCCAACGATTTAATTAACGATCTTGAGGTATTTGTTAACACGCGCGCTACTTTTAAAGTCGATGACTCGTCGTCTGATCACGTTGGGATAAAATTTAACACGAAATAAACATGCTGTTTCACTGATCTATATGAAATGCACAAAATTCGTTCAACAATCGTGAAAATCAATCTTTCACCGTTTAAATTGGCCCAATAATCGCGTTAACATCTGGTCGATTCTTTCAAAGAAAATTCTCGGTTACATTTAACTTTTATATATTTCGGATGGAAAGAGTTTATTGTTCGAAGAAAAAGAATAAAAGAAGGAGTAGTGATAAAGGCTCGTGAAGATTATCATCGATCGAGATATTTATATCGTTATTTGCGTGGCTTGGTTCTATCCACATTGTGTTACGAACAAAAGAGGGCACTCTTCGAAAGGAAACAGAATGAAAACGTACGAACGGGAGAGATCTGATCGATCCTTTTTCCTCGAACTTTAGAATTCAGCCAGGAAGTAGTACGAATCAACAAGTGCGCCGACCACTCATCCGCGACTGTCTGAACTATCCGGAAGGAAATCGTCGAGATGATCTGCAGATTTTCAACAATGCTTGCTGCGCGAAAATCCCTAGGACAGTTGGAGTAAAAGCTTTTCCCTGTGCACGGAATATTTCACGACGAGAAGAATAAATGGTGGTTAAATTCTTTAAGAGTTTTGAATTAAGAAACGAGGATGGAAAAGAAAAAAAGTCTCTAATATTTCCTGTTCCGAGGATTTAAACGTTGAGACGGATATTTTTTAACAGCTTTCTATCTTTTAGGTTTTTTCGAATTCAAGTTTTTATAATAATCATACTCAAAAACGAAAAGAATAATTAAATTTTAGAGTTTCTTTCTTTTTTTTTTTAGTATTTTTAGTATTAGAGAGAGAGAATGATCATGAGAGATCATTATTTTCATATTTACCTTTATGGAAGTCCACTGGTATTTGCATTGTTCTTTGTGAATCAGCGCTGAATGCATGTAGGATTCTAAAGTAGTTCTCTCTGTTCTTATGGAATCGCCATTGCCTCTTACCGGGAGTAATGCAAGAACAGAAAATGGCAAGAAAATGGCGAGAGAATGGTTTGCAGATGTTCGTCGATTCCTGTATTTTAACTATACTTACGTTTTCTTTTATCTTCTCCATTCTTTCTTCTCTCTCTTTCTCTCGCTCTTTTTGTTATAAAAAAGACGATTTTTCTACTTTGGATCCATAAAATTCGAAGATGCGAAGGGAAATTCTCGTTGCGAGGATTCCTCGTTGCCAACTCTCCTCCGTATTATTTTTTTTCTAGTAGAGAATTCCACGTACACGAAACATCCTTGTTGTCATTTTGCGCTCAGAGATCAGATGCACCTGTGCACCTGTGTCTTTTATTTCTTGAAATTTTACGTATGTGCCTGTTACTCGTTTCTTTATGCGCGTAACTTTTGTCTAGTCTGAAAAACAAATGCACGATTTACATTTTAATAGGTGGCGTGCGATATTACGACGTACAATCGTGCTACTATTTATTTTAATTTTATGGAGAGATATATTATGCCACCGCTTAAATTTGTATTAATTTTACACAACATTCAACGAGATTAACTTACACTTTGCGGAGTGCACGCACTTGAACGCATTGAACGTTAATTCAGTGATTATAATGGATTCATATTGAATTCATATTGTATTCCATTGCTTTGTACAATCGTTCTTTACATTCATTGCATTTTATTTGTGTACTTTATTCAATGGTTTTATTTTTCGATCTATTAAGCTGAATAAACTGTTCTCGTCGAATGTTATATCTACAATATTATATCCTTTTCTTTTTTTTTTTTTTTTTTTTTTTT